TAACCAGCCAAAAATGGTGCTGTCATTATAAATATAAGTCTGAATAATATTAGGTCCTAACATATGAAAGTGGTGTTTTGTAAGGGAATAACCTGAAGTATTTTTTTTTTCAAAATATAACATGTTTATTTAATCAAACTATGTACCATTGCTATTTATGCACTTTTGCCATCTCATAGGTACTTCATTGATCCCTTTACTGAAAAAAAAAACATTTGAACGGGAACATTTGGACATATCAATAAAATCTTTGTACTTTGGACTGCCTCATCGGATTTGAATTTTTTCCCAATCAGTTATCCAAATTTCGAAAAAAATGGTAATCTGTTGGAGCAAGATCCGGGGAGCAATTGTAAAGTCTTAGACATTACAATTGAATCTCTTCTAATTTGGTAAATGTCAGTTGTGCAGTGTGTGGTCTAGCGTTGTCCTGAAGCAGCAGTAGCCTACGGCGATTGACCAGCCTCGGTTGTTTAGCAGCTAGCTTTTCCATTATGGTTTCTCAATTGCTGACAACACACATCTGCCGTAATCATCTGGCCAGATTTAAGAAAGCTGAAGTGAACAACACCGGAACTAGTCCACTAAACGCTCACAAGTAACTTTTTAGAGTCGATTTTCGCTTGGGGCAGGATTTGGTTGGTTTGCCAGGGTTCAGCCATTGCGATGAGCGTTTCCAATTATAATACAAGATCCACATCATCACAGGTTCGATTTAAAATCCCTTTATTATTATGCCGGTTGACTAATGTAACGCAGCAGTCTACGCGAGTTTGTCGATCGAAACGCGAATTGTCTACTCAATCCATGAGGGACCCACCTTTTAAGCTTTTTCACCCTCCCAATTTGCTACAAGTGGATTAATACAGTTTTGTCAGTAACACCGCAACCTGAAACTAACTCTGACGTGGTTTGCGATGGATCTGCTATCATAATTACCAACCTTGGACTCCAGCCGCCCACGGGGATTGTTTTGCAGGTCGAAATTTCCAGAACGAAAACGTTGCAACCAACAATGCATTGTGTTTTCTTTTGCGACACCACCACCATACACATCATTAATCCTTCGAGCCGTTTCTGCAGCATTAGTGCCATGGCGGAACTCGTACTTGTACTTGTAAATGACGCGATATTTTAAGTTTTCCATTTTGTAAGCTGAGTGACCCAAAGAAAAAACCAAGCACATGTATTACGGTTTTCGAAAAACAAATGCATGAGTGAATAGCCGTATAAATTTGAAATTGAAATTTCTAACCAAAGAGGAGATATTTAAGATCAAAGTGGCCAGTACGGCAAAACGCTAATTTCATATTTAAGAACCTAATATATTTCAGTATTTAAAAAAAATGGCTTATTCATAATATGTATAATGTTTTTAAATATACCTACTCAATAAAAGTTTTATAATTAATTTTATAGTTAAATTTTATAATTAATATTTAACAAAAAATGCAGTGGTTTTCGTCTCAAATGAAACCACTGAGTTTTTTGACGTTATTGGAACAAAAAATAAACCAAACGTACGTAAATGTAAATTTCTCGACAACCCGAGAAGACCCGAGAAATTAACCTCGAGAATTCTCGAGACCCGAGAAATTGAAAAGCTCGAGAAATCATGAACCCTAATATACATGTATTAATATAATAAAAAGTATATTGCACGGGATATTGCAAGCTACTCAGCCTGATACACACGACAGCTTGTATTTCCTTGTAGTGACAAGCGCAGTGGCATCTGGGTTGCAACTAGGGTTGCCAACTACATATACTGTTTTTCATTCAATTATACTTTTTACTGCTGAACAAAAATAAAGTACACAAAATACCGTTTCCAGCATCAAAACCTCAGTATTTAGTGAAGGAGTTTTTTTATTCAGTACTTAAAGAATGCTAAGTAACGGGATGATAGAAATAGAGTATCCATTAATTCAATAAAAATGAGTTCCTCATTTATTGATTCTTTCCATTTCTTTTAATAGTTATAGCTTATCTATACATCTATATCTATACATATAAATAAAATTGGAGTGTCTGTTTGTAATATTGAAATAACAGTTTTTTACTACACGAATATGAGTATAAATACGGTACATGCACTAAATAATATTTTTTTACAATTTTTGTCTGTCTGTTTGTTCCGGCTAATCTCTGTAATGGCTCGACTGATTTTGATGGGACTTTTTTCTTTTTTTTTTTGGTAGGTAACTGGTCTATAATGAGTAAATTAGACTATTTTTATTTTAGAAAAGTAAAGTTTAATTCCACCTCCTTTTCCTTCGCTGTACGGTTTACTATTAGCACAGATAACATATGCTATTAGTATGTAGTACTATGTCACCTGTGCTATTAGTCACAAGAGCGATGCGTATAGCACTCGCTGTTGTGACCGCGCCGGGGGCACAGCCCTAATTCATATTTATTCGGAAAACAAATCAACACCTGACTGTTGTTAATTTTACTCCTAATCAATTTAAATAAATATAACACTAGGCATAACTCTCTCCGCACGTTCAATTCCTTGTACCCTATCATACTATCATACTCAATACAAACACATTAGCGAGTACAATGGGAATACTTCATATATATATATATATATTTTAATATATGTAAATGCAGGTCACTGACATTCATTATTTGAATTTAGCGCGCATTTGTAGCTGAATTATATTTAAACGTCAGAATGACGTACCTGACTTACGTCATTCTGACGTTTAAATATAATTTATGAGGAAGTATCTAGATGGTTGCAATGTTGTTTCTCTTTTCAGGTGAGTTGTTCAAAATTACCCTTAGTAATGCGCTGTTATACTTGTTAAGAACAATTGTTTGCAATAAATTTAATCTCTATTCAGAGCGACACAATTGAGTATATAATTTCACATAAAAAAGGTGTTTGTAAAATACATAACACATTGTATATAAAAAACTAATAAATTTATTTTGAATGCGCTCCAACACGAGACTATATTTGGCTTCACGTGGGGCCAAGTGACTGCATTATTTTGTAGGTGACGTCTAACTAAAGCATTAGACAATGAACTGATCGTTCCAATATTAGTAAATCCACATGATCCACGAAGTACAAACCCTAAATTTCTATATGCCTTCTTACAAGCACTAACTATGTGATCACTGAATTTCAAGTCTGCAGTAACTACTCTTTTTTTTTTTGTGTCAATGTCATTGTCATGATTATTTGGGTTATTTTTCCGCGTTAAAGTAATTGTCATACACTTCGATTTATTATATTTAGATATGTTTCGATGTTGTTGGGGCTGCAAACAGCTCTGTAGCGCATCAGAGCTGTTTGCAGCGGCCCGCGTAGACGGGTTTCAAGCCGTAACGCGCAAAAGAGCTGCATCACTGATGTCCAGAATTCGGGGGAGCACAAACAGCATCCAAACAACTATTGCGAATATATCTGATTGTCCGCTCCAGAGGCACTGGATATCGTTGCATTGTGGACCCAGCGCTTCTGGACGTGACACAGATATATTAATTGAGTGTATATATCTCTGTATATATACTGTATATTATAATATATTATAAGTTACTAACATAGTATAATAAGTTGTTAACTAACACAGTATGGATGTTATCCAAGTTAATTAGAAAATATATAAAGTACAGTTTATTAACTTTACTCCATGCAACTACTCTATCTATGTCCCTTTGAAAAAGTTCATAATCGGCACTGTTTCTAATTGATCGAAAAAATTTTAGGTCGTCGACGAATAGTAAGTAGCTTGAATCAGTAATAACCTCTAGTAAATCATTGACCGTGATGATGAATTCCAGAGGCCCAAGGGTTGTCTCGGCTGGCTCACCCCCGACCTGACAAAGTATGGTTCAGACTCGTATCCTGCGTAGTGCGTACTCAACATACTGCCATCTATCAGTCATCCAGCTTGTTAAGAAGTGCAACATATCAATTTTGCTTTGTTGACGCTATCACCTGGAAATCATCAGTGCAACATGCGAACTGAGTTTAAATGAAATGTGAAATTTATATATATATATATAACACAAAGGTGACTGACATAGTGATCTATCAACGCCCAGCCCAAACCACTGGACGGATCGGGCTGAAATTTGGCATGCAGATAGATGTTATGACGTAGGCATCCGCTAAGAAAGGATTTTGATTAATTCTACCCCCAAGGGAATAAAATAGGGGACGAAAGTTTGTATGAAACTTTGTCAATTTTAAACCCATCGGCTGAGACTTTGCATGCATAAATCTACTATGACGTAGGCATCCGCTAAGAAAGGATTTTGATTAATTCCACCCCTAAGGGGATAAATTAACGCGAGCGAAGCCGCGGGCAACAGCTAGTGTAAAACAAAATGTTAATGTTGCGAAGTGATGTACGATGCTAACTCGTACACATCATGATACATTCCTGGTGAATTTGTCACGATGCTAACTGACCTGACCTCATGCTCATCTTATCATTCTCCACTGGTGCCCCGCCAGCGTAAACCGTTAGCGCAGGCGGGTGCACCATTACATTATCATATATGAAAAAAAAAAAACATATGGGGAGTACATCCAACGTCAGCCAAGTTAACTTAACAATTATGCGAGAAGCTCTATAAAAAATGTATTTAAAACAATAAATAAAATACTGTTCATTTTTCTAAAATACTGTTTAATATTCTTCACAGACCTAAATATACTTTATTTCTTGTAATGAAGTTGTCAATCCTAGTTGCAACTCACAAAGCGGGCTCCTACCTCCCCATGCCTGGGTGATGGGTATGAGATGTTGGGGTTCTGTATCTAAAAAAAAAATAAAAAAAAAAAAATAATATATGCTGACTGAACCAGCTGACTGAAACCATTGTGATAAATTAACGGTAAATATGTGACCTCACACTAATCTTATCCACTGGCGCCTTCGCCAGCATAAATAGTTAGCGCCGGCGGGTACAACCACAACGTAGATGCAGGGTCAATCTATCTATGTATAAGACCTGCGCAGGCTCCGGCGATCATGTACGGCAGCAAAGTCACATCTTGTCACAGCATAATAGCGGCAACGGTAAACCAAACTAAATTAAATTACATTAATCAAACAATTACTTCTAATTGAACTACTAGTAATAATTAATTAACATTGTTGTTATTATTTATTCCAGCAATTGTATCGAGCGTCACTACTATTTCATATTTCGTACTGGTTCAAAGTACAAACTAGCGGCAATACCGCTATTGCACGCTCGATGACGGGTCAGGCGAACGTACAAGACAAGGCCGCAAACTATTGACAATACCGCTATTGCACGCTAGATGGCGGGTAAGGTAAATGTACAAGGCGATGAAGTTTCGTTCCAAGAATTGGATATATGCCACAGAAGTGCAACAAAAACCTCCGGTTTAGGTTTAGGTTTAGGTTTAGGTTTAGGTTTAGGTTTAGGTTTAGGTTTAGGTTTAGGTTTAGGTTTAGGTTTAGGTTTAGGTTTAGGTTTAGGTTTAGGTTTAGGTTTAGGTTTAGGTTTAGGTTTAGGTTTAGGTTTAGGTTTAGGTTTAGGTTTAGGTTTAGGTTTAGGTTTAGGTTTAGGTTTAGGTTTAGGTTTAGGTTTAGGTTTAGGTTTAGGTTTAGGTTTAGGTTTAGGTTTAGGTTTAGGTTTAGGTTTAGGTTTAGGTTTAGGTTTAGGTTTAGGTTTAGGTTTAGGTTTAGGTTTAGGTTTAGGTTTAGGTTTAGGTTTAGGTTTAGGTTTAGGTTTAGGTTTAGGTTTAGGTTTAGGTTTAGGTTTAGGTTTAGGTTTAGGTTTAGGTTTAGGTTTAGGTTTAGGTTTAGGTTTAGGTTTAGGTTTAGGTTTAGGTTTAGGTTTAGGTTTAGGTTTAGGTTTAGGTTTAGGTTTAGGTTTAGGTTTAGGTTTAGGTTTAGGTTTAGGTTTAGGTTTAGGTTTAGGTTTAGGTTTAGGTTTAGGTTTAGGTTTAGGTTTAGGTTTAGGTTTAGGTTTAGGTTTAGGTTTAGGTTTAGGTTTAGGTTTAGGTTTAGGTTTAGGTTTAGGTTTAGGTTTAGGTTTAGGTTTAGGTTTAGGTTTAGGTTTAGGTTTAGGTTTAGGTTTAGGTTTAGGTTTAGGTTTAGGTTTAGGTTTAGGTTTAGGTTTAGGTTTAGGTTTAGGTTTAGGTTTAGGTTTAGGTTTAGGTTTAGGTTTAGGTTTAGGTTTAGGTTTAGGTTTAGGTTTAGGTTTAGGTTTAGGTTAGGTTTAGGTTTAGGTTTAGGTTTAGGTTTAGGTTTAGGTTTAGGTTTAGGTTTAGGTTTAGGTTTAGGTTTAGGTTTAGGTTTAGGTTTAGGTTTAGGTTTAGGTTTAGGTTTAGGTTTAGGTTTAGGTTTAGGTTTAGGTTTAGGTTTAGGTTTAGGTTTAGGTTTAGGTTTAGGTTTAGGTTTAGGTTTAGGTTTAGGTTTAGGTTTAGGTTTAGGTTTAGGTTTAGGTTTAGGTTTAGGTTTAGGTTTAGGTTTAGGTTTAGGTTTAGGTTTAGGTTTAGGTTTAGGTTTAGGTTTAGGTTTAGGTTTAGGTTTAGGTTTAGGTTTAGGTTTAGGTTTAGGTTTTGGTTTAGGTTTAGGTTTAGGTTTAGGTTTAGGTTTAGGTTTAGGTTTAGGTTTAGGTTTAGGTTTAGGTTTAGGTTTAGGTTTAGGTTTAGGTTTAGGTTTAGGTTTAGGTTTAGGTTTAGGTTTAGGTTTAGGTTTAGGTTTAGGTTTAGGTTTAGGTTTAGGTTTAGGTTTAGGTTTAGGTTTAGGTTTAGGTTTAGGTTTAGGTTTAGGTTTAGGTTTAGGTTTAGGTTTAGGTTTAGGTTTAGGTTTAGGTTTAGGTTTAGGTTTAGGTTTAGGTTTAGGTTTAGGTTTAGGTTTAGGTTTAGGTTTAGGTTTAGGTTTAGGTTTAGGTTTAGGTTTAGGTTTAGGTTTAGGTTTAGGTTTAGGTTTAGGTTTAGGTTTAGGTTTAGGTTTAGGTTTAGGTTTAGGTTTAGGTTTAGGTTTAGGTTTAGGTTTAGGTTTAGGTTTAGGTTTAGGTTTAGGTTTAGGTTTAGGTTTAGGTTTAGGTTTAGGTTTAGGTTTAGGTTTAGGTTTAGGTTTAGGTTTAGGTTTAGGTTTAGGTTTAGGTTTAGGTTTAGGTTTAGGTTTAGGTTTAGGTTTAGGTTTAGGTTTAGGTTTAGGTTTAGGTTTAGGTTTAGGTTTAGGTTAGGTTAGGTTAGGTTAGGTTAGGTTAGGTTAGGTTAGGTTAGGTTAGGTTAGGTTAGGTTAGGTTAGGTTGAAGGCACAACTTGACCACATTTTTGGACCTTTTCCACATTTTTGGCAACTTTTGTAGTGTTTTAGTGTGATTTGTTTTTCTTTCGTGTTTTTCTTTTTTCTTTTCTTTTTTTCCTTTTATTAATTAGTTAGGTTAAGTTTGTAAATATATAGTTAGGTTAGCTTAGTTAGGTTAAGATAGTATAAGTTAGGTTAAGTTTATTATTGTTTTTGTTTTTTGTTTTGTCTGCGCTGAGGTGTTTGTGGTGTATCACCGGGATTGCACGGAGGTAACTCCAGTCTGGTGTGCCCGCTCCGGGGGAAACCCTGGAGCAATTAGTGGAGGCAATAGCCTCCGTAGTATCCGCCCGACTTAGGTCGGGCGCGGCATCGTTGCTGCCATCAAGTTGAGGAGTTGGCTGGTGGCAGCAGCCCCCTCTTCTTCCCGTCCCCCGCCGAGGGGGACGAGGAGTGTGTGTCCCTGCCCCGGGACTTAGCGTTCTGGTCCATGTCGGACTCGGTCACGCTGGCGGACGCCGACACGGTGCGGTCGGCGAGGTCGCGGCCCGTCTCTCGGGCCAGGTCGCGGGCATCTCGGCCCTCCTCAGCGTCGTCGACGCGCTCTACGCGCTCGACGCGCTCAATGATGGTGGAGGACGAGATGTCCGGATGCCTGGTGTCCAGCGAGGACGGACTGGCAAAAACGGCCGTGCCGAAACGGCCGCACGCGGACGGACCGGGCCCTTCCGGGACGACGGGCGGGAGTGTCAAGCCGTCCAAAATCCCCTGCCCGTCGTCCGGGAATGGGATTGTCCTGGCGGTGCCCGTGGGCCGTGGCACAAAGAGTCCGGCAACGTCGCCGAAGTCCCGGCGGCAGGAAAAACGAGGGGACGACGGGATGTTCGTCCGACCCTCGGAGGTCCCTGCGGGAAAGGGGAAGGTCCCCCCAATGGATGACTCGCAGCCTGTGGCCGCCTTCAGGGCGGAGGCCCAGAGAAAGCTCGGGGCTGCCCTGGACACGGTGCGCAGGTGCGGGAACCTAAAGGGGACCGACCAGAAGCGGCTGAAGGAGAGCATCAGCTCCGTGATGTTGATGGCGGAGGAACTGGACGGGAGTACCGTCATCGACAGCGAGTTCACCGCGAGCGCCGTCAAACGGCGAATGCTGGAGGCGCAGGTGGAGGAGCTCCGTAAGGAGAACAAGGAGCTCCGAAACCAGCTCCTGGCGCTCCAAGCCGAGATGCGGCGGCTCACGGCGAACTCGGGGTCGCAACCTCCTTCGGCCGCTTCCCAGGCGCCGCAGGGACCTGCGAGGGTAAGGGCACCTGGCCCGACCCCTGAGCTAGATGAGGTCGGGGCCTTCAGGGCGGAAATAATGAGGGCCACCGGGGAGTTGATAGATGCCCGAATAGGGATCCAAATTGAGAAGGGCATCAGGGAGATAAAGGCCGCCCTGGGTCTCAACTCCCCGGCGACATCAATCCGCCCTGATCACCGCCCGCCGCTGCAAAGCGACGGGCAATACGAGGTGTTGTCCCGGCTCCCCGGCGCAGGGGGACCGGGCTTCAGGGACGCTCCCCATCTGCGGGGGGCGCGAGGCGCAGAATTCCCGCCGCTTCAACCCGCCAACCGGCCTGCCTCTGGCAGCCAACAGCCGGGGCCGTCGGGCGCGGGGCGCGCAACCGAGGGCTGGAGCACAGTGGTACGACGGGGCGGCAAAAACCGCAACGTCCCTGAGAGGCAGACCCAGAGTACTCAGAGTACTCAGAGGACCTCTGGGGCTCCTTCTCAGGGGAAGAAGGGAAAGCCGGCCCCGCCGTCGCCATCAAAGTTGCGTGCCCCGCGATCGGCGGCGGTGGTGGTTACACTGTGCCCGGAGGCAGAAGCGGCGGGAGTGACCTACTCCGCCGTCCTCAAGGAGGCGAAGGAAAAAATCAACCTCGCCTCCTTGGGGATAGGAAGCCTGCGCTTCAAGACCGCGGCTACTGGGGCCCGGATCCTGGAGATCCCAGGGTCCCAGATGGGAGATCAGGCCGACGCGCTCGCGTCGAAGTTCCGGGACGTGTTCCCGGACGGTACGGTCCGTATCGCCAGGCCCACCAAGACCGCGGAGATGAGGGTCATGGGCCTGGATGACGGTACCGACCGGGAGGAGGTGGCGGCCGCCGTGGCACAGCACGGCGAGTGCACGGCGGACGCCGTCAACGTCGGGGAGATTCGGCGCGGCGCGTCGGGCCTGGGCACCTGCTGGGTGCGGGCCCCATTGGCCGCGGTCAAGAAAGTCACGACGGCAGGGCGGATCCGGATCGGCTGGGTCTCGGCCGCTGTGGAGCTGCTGCGGCAGAAGCCACTCCGGTGTTTCAAGTGCCTCGAAAGCGGGCACGTGGTGGCACGGTGCTCGCACGAGGAGGACCGGAGTGGCCTTTGCTACCGGTGTGGGGCTCCCGGCCACAAAGCGGCCGGATGTTCGGCGGCCCCACACTGCGTGGTCTGCGCAGCGGCGGGTCGCTCAGCTGATCACCGGGTGGGGGCCAAAAAGTGCCCCCAGTCCCGCAACAGAAAGAGGAGATCCGCACTGTCGTCGGCCCGCGGCAATGGCCGCCGGGGAGAGGCTGAGGTGATGGACACCGGTCAATAATGGCAGTCCATCGCCTCCTGCAGGGGAATCTCAACCACTGCGCGCGCGCCCAAGATCTGCTTCTGCAGAGCGCGGCGCAGTGGGGAGTTGACCTTGCAGTGGTCGCCGAACCATATCGTGTCCCACGAAGTGACCATTGGTTCGGCGACCCCTCTGGCCTGGTGGCCATTGTCGGCGCGGGCAACCCGCGACCCCGCTCGTCAGCCGCCTATTCGGCGGAGCGGGGTACATAGGTGTGAGTTGGGGGGAAACCGTCGTTGTCGGGACATACTTCTCTCCGAACAGGACTCTCGCCGAGTTCGAGCAGTTCATGGACGGGCTGGGGGCCGCTATGGAGCTATACTCGGCCCGTCCAATGATGGTGATGGGGGACTTCAATGCCAAATCCACGGCATGGGGGCTCCCCATCACCGACTCTCGAGGCAGAGTCCTGGAAGACTGGGCGGCCGCGGCCGGCCTGGTGGTGTTGAACCGAGGGTCGGCCGCCACGTGCGTGAGACAGCAGGGGGAGTCGCATGTCGACGTATCCCTCTGCAGTCCAGCGATCGCACAGAGGGTGCGGAGCTGGCAGGTGTTGGATGAGGTGGAGACTCTATCCGATCATCGGTATATCCGGATAGATGTTCTCCCCTCACCCGTAGCTCCGCATCCCGGTCGCCAGGAGAGGAATGTCCCACAACTCCCCAGATGGGTGTTGAAACGTCTGAATAAAGACGTGCTGATGGAGGCTTCCATCGTCCAGGCCTGGGTTCCGATACCGGAGGGGCCTGTGGAGGTCGACGCAGAGGTGGGCTGGTTCGGTGAGGCTCTGTCGCACATTTGCGACGCGGCGATGCCCCGAGCCGGCCCTCGACCTCCTAGGCGTCAGGTGTACTGGTGGTCGGAGGAGATAGCGGCGTTGAGGGAGGAGTGCTCCGCCGCCCGCCGCCGGTACACCAGGCACCGCCGACTCAGGCGGGGCCGCGACGCCGACGAGGAAGCACAGCTGTACGAGCAGTACAAAGAGAGGAAGAAAGCTCTGCAGCTGTCCATCAGCAGGGCCAAGGAGACAGCCAGGGAAGAACTCCTGGAGACCCTGGACAGGGATCCATGGGGGCGTCCTTATAGGTTCGTCAGGGGCAAATTACGCCCCTGGGCGCCCCCCGTGGCAGAGGGTCTCCAGCCGCAGCAGTTGGAGGAGGTGTTGGAGGAGCTGTTCCCGAGACAGCCTCCCTTCACACCTCCTCCGATGATGCCGCGTGGCAGTGATGGAGAGGCCAGCGGCGTCAGCGCTGCTGCGGTTCCCGCCATCACCGTGGAGGAGTTCGCCGCGGCCGTGGATAAACTCCGGGGCAAGAATGTCGCCCCGGGTCCGGATGGTATCCACGGCCGCGTCCTGGCCTTGGCCCTAAACACCCTAGGGGACCGACTCCGGCGCTTGTTCAATGCGTGCCTGGAGTCGGGACGGTTTCCCAATCAGTGGAAAGCGGGTAGAGTGGTCCTGCTCCGCAAAGCGGAGCACCCCGCAGGTTCGGTGGTTCCCTCGGCGTTCCGCCCCATAGTGCTGTTGGACGAGATCGGCAAGCTCTTCGAGAGAATCTTGGCGGGCCGACTCGTCCAACACCTGTCTCAGGTAGGTCCCGATCTCAGCCCGAAGCAGTTCGGATTCCGAGAGGGGCGCTCGACGATCGACGCGATCTCGCGTGTGCGCTCCCTCTCGGAAGAGGCGACGTCCCAGGGTGGGGTGTTGTTGGCGGTCTCGTTGGACATAAAGAACGCCTTCAACACCCTGCCCTTTGCGACTATTAGGGAGGCGCTGCAGTACCATCGCGCGCCTCCCTACATTCGGGACGTGATCGGGGCCTATCTCGAAGACAGGTCTGTGCTCTGCACGGGGCGGAACGGCGTTGTAGTGTCGAGGGAAATGCAACGCGGTGTTCCACAGGGATCGGTTCTGGGCCCGATCCTGTGGAACATCGGGTATGATTGGAACCTGCGGGGCGCCCTTTTAACGGGCACTGACCTCGTGTGTTACGCGGATGACACCTTGGTCACTGCCCGGGGGCGGGACCTACGGGAAGCTACCCGCTTTGCCACGGCAAGCGTGGCACTGGTCGTCGGCCGAATAAGGAGGCTTGGGCTCCAGGTGGCGCTGGAGAAGACCGAGGTCCTATGTTTTCATGGGCCTCGGCGCGCGCCACCTCCGGATGCCCAGCTGGTCGTCAGTGGCCAGAGGGTGGGGGTCAAGCCCTGTATTAGGTATTTGGGGCTTGACCTGGACAGTCGTTGGAGCTTCCGCGCTCACTTTCGGAACCTGGTCCCTCGCCTTATGGCAGCCGCCGGCGCTCTTAGCTGGCTGCTGCCAAACGTGAGGGGCCCGGGAGAAGGTTCCCGCCGCCTATACCTCGGCGTGGTGCGGTCCATGGCCCTGTACGGGGCCCCCATCTGGGTGGGGGCCCTTGGTAGGGAAAATGTGGCCTGTCTCAACAGGCCACACAGGGTCATGGCCATACGGGCCATAAGAGGCTACCGCACCATATCCGGGGAAGCGGCGGGTCTGCTGGCGGGGTCTCCTCCGTGGGACTTGGTAGCGGAGCTCCACGCGTCAGTGTATCACTGGCGCGCGGAGCGACGTTCCATGGGGAGGCACCCGCTGGCCATGAGATTGGAGCGCGGAGGTCCGACTTTCGGCGGATCCTCAGGATCAGGTGGAGAGAAAGGCTGGCCAGTCCATCGGCCGGCCTGAGGACCGTCGAGGCTGTCCGTCCCATCCTCAAAAGATGGATGAATAGGAGATGGCCACTGACGTACCGCATGACACAGATACTGTCCGGGCACGGGTGCTTCGGGCGGTATCTGTGTCATGTGGCGAGGAAGGAGCCGACGACCGGCTGCCACGAGTGCGGAGGTGTGGAGGACACGGCGCAACACACGCTGGACGAATGTCCAGCGTTCGAGAGTGAGCGCCGTGTCCTCACACGAATAGTGGGGGACGATCTCTCGCTGCCGAATTTAGTTCGGAGGATGATCAGTAGCGAGAGATCGTGGCTGGCGGTGAGCTCCTTCTGCGAGGAAGTTATCTCGCGGAAGGAGGCGGCGGAAAGGAGCGGGAGTCAGATCGTCCCGCTTCCCTCCGCCGCAGAAGAGCCAGGCCTAGAGGTGGGGGCGTACCCAACTCCGCCCCCCTCTATCCCCCACTGGGGCCGGGGTGACTGCCTTGAGGGAGGCAGTCCCCCAATCCAAAGGCCCCGGAGGTGTGCGCGTGTACCCACACGCCTCCACAATGGAGTAGGGCGAAATAGGTCGCCCTAACCACAAAACGAGATGGGGCCTGCCCTACAACATCTACAGGGCGGGCCGTCGCCGTCGGAGCTGGGGTAGAATGCACTTGCGAATCCCCTGGCTCCGGCATAGGCGCTCGTAGGTACACCGTGTGGTTTTTAGTGAGTCAAGTCTCACACACCACCTCGCCATCCCTCCGGCGAGGTGACGGTCTTTTGAAGATTTTCCACACGTTAAAAAAAAAAAAAAAAAAAGGTTAGGTTAGGTTAGGTTAGGTTTTTTTTTTTTTTTTTTTTTTTTTTTTTTTTTTTTTTTCCTACTTGGCCTACCTCCCCACCGCTGTTTACAACAGGGTGGGCCGTCGTCTAGCTATGGGTCTTATGCTAGGGGGTACAGCCAAGTAAACACACTTAAGCCCGGATGTGAAATTCCAGGTTTTTTACATTTTCTTTATTAGACACATAACTTTCTTATTTACTACACTTAAACCTAGAGGAGAACTTAATTAGGGATTTACATTTCTAAGGGTTATCTATTTTACTTTTGTTTACATACTAGAATTTTAGCCTATTTTATTTCTTACTTATCTATTACAATTCTTACTATTACTATTATTCTTTTTATTACTTATATCTATTGCTTATCTATGACTGTATATCCACTATACACCTAGATACAGCTTTACTTATCACTGTTTGTTTTTGTTACTTTTGTTATAACTTCCGTAGCATACTTTAAAAATTTTTCTCTATGTTCTTTACTCTTTATGATTTCCTTGAATTTTTCTGATTTAATTTCTATTCCCAATTCTATTTCTAAGTCCATTCTTTTCCTTCCAAAGCGAGGGCATTGTGACATAATGTGTAATAGTGTTTCGGGTGTGTGCTGGTCACATGGGCACGACGGATTCTCGCGGCACCGAAAACGGTGCAGATACGCTCGGAATCCGCCGTGTCCCGTGAACAGCTGGGTGATGTATTTGTCTGCGGTGATTTTGCCGACGACCCTGTACGCATCGGCCGCGCTCGGGAAGAAGAGTTTTGTTACGGAAGCAGTCTCGCCAGACTGGTACCGCCTATCCCATTCGGCAATCGTCCGATCCCGGATCAGACGTTTGGCGAATGAGACTGGACACCAGTCGTAGTCTGACCTCCTCTTCGACTTCAGGGCCGCTTCCTTGGCGAGATGGTCCGCCCTCTCGTTTCCTTCCCACCCCGCATGTGCCTTTATCCAATAGATGTTTATTGATTTTCCTTTTTGCTTACACTTTGTGTGCTGTGTTCTAAATTCTTCTGCTAATGGGTGGGAGGCTTTCGGATTTGCAACTGTTTGCAATGCGGCTCTGGAGTCGCTGAGGATGCCGATCGTGGTGGCAGGATGTTCCGATGCTATCCCAACCGCCTTGCTCAGAGCCAGGAGTTCCGCCTGGTAGACGGTACAGTGTGCCGAGAGAGCAAGCTTGAGGGCCTTTGTTTCGGTCGCTCTGTTCCATACCGACAGAGCCGCACCGACCCGGCCCTCAATCTTGCTCCCATCGGTGAATATTCTTATTTCACATTCTTGTTGCGCTGTTTTATATTGTTCCTCGTCTACCAGGTCCCGGAACTCCAGCCTCCCCTGCTCGGCCGGATGGGGCTTGTCTGCCGCTGGCGTCATCCGTTCGACGTCCCTGTCTCCCACTAGCCCGTCGGCCTTCCCCCTCCTCGCCTCGTACAGTGAGGCGGCCTCACGTATACGGAGGTCTAGAGGGAGAATTCCTGACAGTACCAGTGCGGAGTTCAGAGACACCGTGCGGTAAGCCCTGCAGATTTTTTGGGCGAAGCCCCTCTGCACCACGCTCAGCTGCCTCCGGAACTCTATCTTCGTCACCGATTCCGACCACGCGCTTGCCGCATACATGATTATCGGCTCCACCACCGCTGTGTATATTGTCCTCGTAACTTCTGGGTGCAGACCCCAGTTCACCTTTGCCGCCCTGGCCAGCTGTTTGTAGATGGCTATCGCCTTCTTACAAACAGCAGCCATATGGGCGTTGAAGGTCAACCGGTGGTCGATGGTAAGTCCCAGAAGTTTGACACTTTCGGTCATGCCTATGGCGACCCCGCCCATGCTCAGACGTGGTGTGTCGTATTTCAGCTTGCGTGTGATTAGCATCGCACATGTTTTGTGCGGTGCGAATCGCAGCCTGCTAACGACACCCCACTTCCGAACATGTTCGAGGGCGGCATTTGCACGACTTTCAATGTCGAGGGCCGTCCACCCATCAAATACCAGCGCGACATCGTCCGCGAACGCTTGGCAGTAGACGCCTTGATGTTCTAGCTGTCTCAATAGGGGGTCTAGGAGGACATTCCACAATAGTGGTCCCCCTATCGAACCCTGCACACATCCTATCTCCGTTTGACGCGTTGCCCGTGCTCCAGCATACCTTACTTCGACTGCCCTGTCCCTCAGGTAGCTATCGATTACTCGTCTCAGATTTACCGGGCATTTTTCCTCAGCCAGCCGGACCCTTATCATCGGCCACCAAGCGCTGTCGAAGGCGCCCTCTATATCCAGGGATATTAGCACTATCATCTTTTTCTCGTGGAGTTTGCTTTTGATGTGACTCATTAGATTATAGAGGGCGTCCTCGGCACTGCGCTGGGGCATGAATCCGTACTGGCGAGTACTAATCCTTGGCAACAGGTGAAATCTGAGACGGGCGACCAGCATCTTCTCGTACACCTTCCCCAAAACCGGTAACAGTCCTATTGGTCTGTACGACTTGGGGTCTGTGTACGAGGTCTTGCCTGGCTTCCTGAGGATCACGACAGTCGCCTCCTTCCATCTTTTAGGAAAAAGCTGCAGCACCAAGCACTTATTCAGCAGGGCTAGGAAGTATGCAGGGTTACCGCCAATCGCTCTCGCACAGATGTCCGCTGTGAACCCATCCGAACCTGGGGCTTTCTTTGGGTTGAAGGACTCAACCGACGCTTCTAATTCCGACATCGTGAAGGGGGGGTCAGCAGCAATATCCTCCCTGCAGTTTATCTTTTCTGCTTTCTGCCTTATTTCTTTATGTATTTCAGTGTCCGCCTCTTTATTGTCTCCAGGGTAGAACCTCCGTGCAAGTAGATCGGCTGACCCCTGCGCGTCTAAGACTTTGTCTCCCTCAACCAACATTACGTCCTCTTCCCTAGCCCCTGTCCTACCTATTACCCTATATATGCCCTCCCACATTCCCTCTCGCTCCTGCTTTTCACAGAATCCCCTCCAACTCTCGACTTGTGCTGTTTTTATGGCCTCATGATATTTTTTATTTTGTTTCAGGTAGAGATCCACTACAGCAGCCCTCTGCGACGGCTGTGCGTTTTTGATTCGGCGCCTCCTGGTGACGACCTCACGCTTCATCTTCGTGAGATCGTCCGTCCACCACGGTATGGTAAGTGTGTCTTTGTGTTTTTTGTGTGGTATCGCTTGTGTGCATGCTTGTGTTATTGCTTCCGTGTATTGATCAATGGCGTGTTCGAGTTGTGAGTGTTGTGTAACTGTTTCGAGTTCCTGTGGTGTCATGTGTGTGTCTTGCATAATTTGGGCCAATTTCTCATGAAATTGGCTCCAATTTGCTTTCTTTGTGTTGTAAATGCGTGTGGTTCGTGTTATCTCTGTTCCTTTTGGCTTTGTTAAGTGTACGTGAAATGTAATACCGTTGTGGTCGGAGCTGGTTAGAGAGTCATCTACTCTCCAACCAGTCACCAGGTTAAGTGCCTCCTCAGTGCACGCCGTCACGTCGACGTAGCTACTGTAGTGTTTCCCTCCTCTCCATGTGTCGAAAGTTGGGGAGGATCCTGCATTAAGCACGTTCATTCCTGACTCGCATATAAGCCCGCGCATCAGCTCGCCCCTTCGGTCCTCGAGGAGGCCGCCCCACCAGATGCTCTTCGCGTTAGAATCTCCACCAATGATCAGCCTGTCGGTCCCCAGCCTATCCCTGATCCTCCCTAGCTGCTCCAGGTAAGGCTCTATGGGTTTGTTTGGTTCGAAGTAGAAGGACACAAACGCCATACTCCAGTTCCCAGTACGGACGCCCACCACCACGATGTTGTTTGTGGTGAGTTCCGGGTGTTGGGTGACCTGAAGGCCTCCATCAAACACTATGATGGCGGCCTTCACGCCACCCTCGCCATCCGTCCCGGGAGACTGAAATACTCTGGCTCCTCTGCGTCCCGCTACCCTCCCCTTCCCCCCACATAGGGCTCCTGGAGCAATGCTAGTGAGGCCCTACGGCTGGCGGCCTCCATCAGCAGTTCACTGGTGGCTGTTCTACTCCTTTGCAGGTTTGCTTGGAGCACCAGGTGTTTTCGGGCATTCCCCTCGGTGACCTCAGCAGTACGCTACCGATGCCCGGGCTAACGAGTCCCATCTTTTCCTCACCGGACATACATCGTTGAAGGCCGTGTGGTGCGGGTCCTCTACTTCTGCCAAACGGCAGTTTATACACGTGGGCGTCGCCCCCACTATACGGTCGGTACACTCCGCTGCATGGTGCAGGCCCCCGCAGTAGCTGCACAGGTCCGCGGTATCTTTACAGTACCGCTTACTGTGACCGTACCCCAAACAACGGGTGCACTGCACCAAGGGGGATTGATCCTCTACGCGGACCCTTTGGAGGTCAATGTGTAGTTTCTCCTCCCCGAGTGCCCTTCTCCATACAGTGGGGGAGACGCTCAATACGATATGGTTGGTGTGTGGGTTTCTAGCCTTCTTCCTATATTTTATCATCACGCGGCCCTCCTCTCCGTTGAGGCCATCAAAGACCCCCCGGTTCTGATTCCGGAGCGCCATCAGCACCTCTCCATCCGAGTGCACTTTGATGACGTCCCTCAGAATCAGAAGCGGATCTCGGTTTTTGATGTCCTCGACGGTGAGGCCCTTCCCTGCCTTGCTGATCCTCTCCTTTATTTTTGCCCTATCTGCTTCCTTGACACAACCCACAATCACCTTCCTATCCTTAGCTTTCCTCACCCGCTCCACACGAACCCAACCCTCTTTCGCATCCACCGTCTTCCTGAGCTTTTCCAACACCTCCTCCGCCGTATCCTCCTCATCTGTCGATGCTATCACCACCGAGTGCAGCGTACCTCTCTCTACTACTCCTTTCCCTTTCCCGGTGGCTGCAGCTACCTCGGCGTAGGAGGCGTGGCTTACCCTTTCTTCCTTATCCCTTTCATCCCTTTCTTCCATACTCTTCCGTATCCCTTCCATTCTGTCCCTATTCTCCCTTAAAATTTTGTTGTTGTCCTTTATCCCTTCCAAAATGCTTTCTAATTTCCTATCAATTTCCCCGTCTATTTTTCCCTTTTCCGTATTCTCCCTTTCTACCTGTTTAATTTCCACTATTTTCCCTTCTATCTTCCCATCATTTCTAAGCTTTTCAATTTCCGCTTCCGCATCCTTTATCAGGCTGTACAACCTCTCCACTTGCACGGCCGTATCGTCCTTTAATTCCCTCTTCAAATTTTTGAAGAGGGCTAAATTACTTTTTGCCTTGTTGTGGCATATCCTTGCTTCTTCCAGTCTCGTC